ATCAATTCTCAACATTAAAATCAATTCTCAACATTAAAATCAATTCTCAACATTAAAATCAATTCTCAACATTAAAATCAATTCTCAACATTAAAATCAATTCTCAACGTTAAAATCATCTTTGATATGTGAAGGATTAAATGGCAAGGAAACTGATCAATAGCTTCAAACTCTAATATTCCAATCCTAATCCTTTGCAACCATAATAATGCAACTTTTGATGTATCATAAAATTGCTGCTGGATCTAGCAGTGTGCAATGTGAAGATTGCAAAGATGAGATGAGGCCAAGTAACAATGCAAAGATGACAATGTCCAATTCAAAACGGTTCCCTTGATGCATTCATCTGATAAATAATGTGGAAGATATTGTCGATTTTCTAAGTTTAAAAATATTTATAAATTTTTCCTTGCAGTAAATATGCGCTATTGTCACTATTTTTGAGAAAACTGCAATTAAAAATAATCGGTTTTCTAAAATTTTAAACATTGATATCATACTGATGAACATACTTGATCAGACAAAGCTTCTAAGGGTACCGTTATTGATCGGTACCCTTTTCATGATGGGCCACTTTCATTCACAGTCCCTTTATATTTAAATTATGTATTACAATGTATGACAAGTAGCAACAAAACCTGGTTGGATATATTGTTATTCTTTTCAGTAATTACCTTAGCCCAGAGTAAGCAATGTCCTCTCACAGAAATATTATTTCTAAGTAGTGCCATGTAAAGGAATACATTTTAAATGGTAAATTTGCATCATTTTGCGCCTAAATTAGGGTTTCATTGCTCAGTATAATTCAATTTCAGGAAAGCTGGATCAAATTCTGCTAAAAATTGCCTTTAATCATAATAAATGTGTGTTTATATGTTAATTATAATTATAATTATTGAGAAATAACTATAGTCTTACACACGGTAAGTTTTATCTCAATGATGCGCAAAATGTGTATTATATATTTCAATAACAACAGAGGCACTTGATATTTTTTGTTGTCTTACTAAAAATATTTTTTGTTGTTGCGCAATATTGCAATAAGAGTAATTTTGAGTTTGTATAGATATAGTAAGATACAGTTTTGATCTGTTATTTGAGCATAGTGCGAATGAAAACCCTACAGCCAAAAGGACGGAAAGCTCGCTTCAAATTATTATCTTATAATCCTTACATCTTTGCAACCTGTTGCAACCTTTGAATTTAGCTTGATATGTCAAAGTTAGTAATATAAAAAGCTTTCCGCTGGTTTCAAAGATGTAGGAGGGGATACTAAATAAGTGTTTGAGGTAAGACTTCGGTTCCCTTCCTGTATAGATTCATAATAAGACTTTTTTATTTCATCGAAAAAATATTTCTATATAACCCCTTCCTAACCACCAACCGAATCTTATATTAAGCTTGAAATGCATTTCCTTGCTGTCCAATCCATCATTTTATCTTGACTTTCAGTTAACCATACTCCCTGAAAATGTTTTTATAAAATATTTTGACCAGAAGTTCAACGAAATGATGGAAACGAATTGGGTCTTTGAATCCCTTTATCTTTACAAGCTGATGATGATGTAAACCTTTAATATTTCAAACTTATAGATTATTTGATCTAACAGAGATCATAAATTGAAATATCTAAGGTCGCAACATAAGTTCGCTAAGATAAAAAGATTAGAAAATCAGATTTTGTGGCAAAGACTCAATTACTTTTAGAATGTACTATAGAGTTGAACAACAGCAAGACCCATAAAACTGTAGAAAATGAAGACGACATGAAAGCAAATAGTTTCTCCAGTAGCTTCACGGTCAACTTTTTAAATTAAATGGGTCTGTGCACACAGCACAATGGCTAAATGCGAAAATCACATGAAATAAAAGAAAAAAATTGTTAAACCCCACTTGAACTTATAGTTGCCTACAACCCAGTTAAACCCCACCTGATCCTTCTTCATAAACCTCCACTTGAACTTATAGTTGGTTACAACCCAGTTAAACCCCACCTGATCCTTCTCCATACACCTCCACTTGAACTTATAGTTGCTTACAACCCAGTTAAACCCTACCTGATCCTTCTCCATATACCTCCACTTGAACTTATAGTTGGCTACTACCCAGTTAAACCCTACTTGATTCTTCTCCATATACCTCCACTTGAACTTATAGTTGGTTACAACCCAGTTAAACCCTACCTGATCCTTCTCCATATACATCCACTTGAACTTATAGTTGGTTACAACCCAGTTAAACCCTACCTGATCCTTCTCCATATACCTCCACTTGAACTTATTGTTGCCTACAACCCAGTTAAACCCTACCTGATTCTTCTCCATATACCTCCACTTGAACTTATAGTTCGCTACAACCCAGTTAAAGTTCTCAGCAGTAAACTTGCAGTACGCAGAGTCCTCAGAATGTTCTAAACAAACTAGATTTACAGGGTCCGATGCACAACGGTTCCGTTTTAATCTTTATCTGATTATTAATGTCAAAAACTGGTCATTTGAAATTGCAAAGTCTCTGTGATCCACCTTGACATGAGCTCAGCTCATCAACAACTACGGCTGTTCCGAAGGGAAATAAATGGGTAAGTTGACGAACTTCCATGAGGAGATCTTCAATTGGATCGCCAGCAATCGTTACTTTCACATTCCTTTTCCGCAGAGTATCAATTCTTGCATTTGCCTAAATATTTAAAAAAATTGTTATAAATGTTATAAAGATAAATGAAAAAAAAAATTTAAATGCAAATTAGACTTTATTTTGCCCGCTTTCCCCCCCCCCCCCTCCTCCTCATTTATAAATTTCCCACACCCTCTGCTCTTTATCCTCTCTGTTTTTTAGAAAAAGGGGAAATTTTTTTTTTTTTTTTGTCGAATATGTAGATATACCAGTGATAAAGTTTGTGACTTTAAAACAAAAATTATCTATCTAATTGGCTTGTCTTTTGGTTTCCAACTTCCAAGTCGGTTTGTTTCCAATAAACGTCAAAACGGCTAAACCGACTAGGTCAATATTTTTTTTTGTGGCAAGTAACATGACCTTAAGAAAGGGACATGACTGGTAAAATTTATCAAAAAATCTATTTAAATTTCTTTCGAATATCTATCAATATTTAAAGCGTATGAAGAAAAATATGTAACATTTAACAGCTAACATTTTTACTAGAAAAAGGGATAAAAGCGCCCTGAATTCCTAGTTCATTTGATCTTTTTAACCTTTGCAAAATGTTCTCAAAATTATCTTTTCTTAAAGTTTTCATATAATTAAATCCATTGAGTTCTGAAATGAATAATTATCTACTATGATGAACAGACAAGGATAAAACTTGAATTTAAATTTTTATTTATAAAGTTCTTTTATGCAGAAAGTATATTTATATATGTATAAAATTTCTAAAATCCAACTTGTAAACATCTCAATAAAATAAAAATATTGAAATGTGCTCATTTAGGGCAAGAAACATGGGTTTTAAGACTTCTAAATGATTTCGATTTTTAGAAAGATGTGCGCTAAACGTTTTTAAAATAGCTTTGATAAAATTTAAAAAGCATTGGTATAATAAACTTTTATGCTAAATGTTTTATCGAATTTTCTGTAACATTTTGATATGCGTTAAAGAAATCTATTTAAAGAAACAAGATATTTAGATTAACAGAGAGAATTAAAATTAGACTTTTAAACTCTTTTAATTGTAGCAGTTAATAAATACCTCTTTCTTCCAGTTTGAGTCAATCACTTGTTCTTCCAGAAACACATTGTCAATTAAAAAGTCTGCTACAGGATCAGCACTAACAGCTAACTTTATTGTATCTGCTCCTAAACATTATAAAGTCAGCTATAGGATCAGCATTAACTGCAAACTTTATTTTATCTGCTCCTAAACATTATAAAGTCAGCTACAGGATCAGTACTAACAGCTAACTTTATTGTATCTGCACCTAAACATTATAAAGTCTGCTACAGGATCAGCACTAACAGCAAACTTGTATCTGCACCTAAACATTATAACGTCTGCTACAGAATCAGCACTAACAGCTAACTTTATTGTATCTGCACCTAAACATTATAAAGTCAGCTACAGGATCAGCACTAACAGCTAACTTTATTGTATCTGCTCCTAAACATTATAAAGTCAACTACAGGATCAGCACTAACAGCTAACTTTATTGTATCTGCTCCTACTACAGGATCAGCACTAACAGCTAACTTTATTGTTCTGCACCTAAACATTATAAAGTCAGCTATAGGATCAGCACTAACTGCTAACTTTATTGTATCTGCACCTAAACATTATAAAGTCAGCTACAGAATCAGCACTAACAGCTAACTTTATTGTATCTGCTTCTAAACATTATAAAGTCAGCTATAGGATAAGCACTAACTGCAAACTTTATTTTATCTGCTTCTAAACATTATGAAGTCAGCTACAGGATCAGCACTAACAGCTAACTTTATTGTATCTGCTCCTAAACATTATAAAGTCTGCTACAGAATCAGCACTAACAGCTAACTTTATTGTATCTGCTTCTAAACATTATAAAGTCAGCTATAGGATAAGCACTAACTGCAAACTTTATTTTATCTGCTTCTAAACATTATGAAGTCAGCTACAGGATCAGCACTAACAGCTAACTTTATTGTATCTGCTCCTAAACATTATAAAGTCTGCAACGGGATCAACACTAACAGCTAACTTTATTGTATCTGCTCCTAAACATTATAAAGTCAGCTACAGGATCAGCACTAACAGCTAACTTTATTGTATCTGCTCCTAAACATTATAAAGTCAGCTATAGGATCAGCACTAACTGCTAACTTTATTGTATCTGCACCTAAACATTATAAAGTCTGCTACGGGATCAGCACTAACAGCTAACTTTATTGTATCTGTACCTAAACATTATAAAGGCAGCTACAGGATCAGCACTAACAGCAAACTTTATTGTATGTGCTCGTGGCTTAGCAAACGCCAAACAGACAATAAATAAGAGATTCTGTGGATAATTGTTTAATTTTTAAAACTCTTATTTTCGTGGATTACTGACGATTAGGGTTTTTAATCGTTTTTGTAAACGATCGTTAAACGATCGTTTTTTGTATCGTTTTCAAAAACGATCGTTTCGTTTTCGGAAAAAACGACCCACTCGTTTTGAACTTTTAGAAAACGAATAGCGATCGTTTTTGAAAATGATCGTTTTTATTAAAACGATTTGCGACCGTTTTTTATACGATTTTATACGATTCAAAAACGATTGTTTTTGAAAAAAACGATCGTTTTTGAAAAAAAAATTTATTGACATTTATGTTAACGATCGTTAACAAAGGGTCGTTGTTAGCGATCGTTAACGAAGGGTTGTCGTTAACCATCGTTAACGAAACGACGAACTTAACTACTCAATGATAAGTACAGATGCCCTTCAGGTCGGTTTCCTCTCTTCCCTTCGTTAACGATCGTTAACGAAACGACGAATTTTATAAAAACGATCGTTTTTTTTAAAACGATCGTTTTAAAAACGACCAATTGTACAAAACGAACTTTTTAAAAAAACGATCGTTTTTAAAAACGATCGTTTCTTTTTCGATTTTTCGTCGTCGTTTTCATAACGAAACGATAGTTTTTCTGAAAAATGAAAACGTTAATATCCCTACTGACGATATAGAACTCATCCATGAATTTTCATATGTTCTAAAACACTCTGTATGACAGTATAAAAGAAAAATCTACCTAAGACTGTTTCTGGAATAGAGTAATGTTCTGTGTGTTTGCTCCATTCTCCACCCTGATATAGAACATTTTATTTAATCCATTAATCAAATTCAACCTCGCATATTTTCAATTTATATCTTAAAGGGACTATTAACGGGATTTCAAGTGAATCTTCATTTGAAGAGAGCAAAGTTCAAAACGATTCTATCATTCAAAGAAATAATTTCTGTAAATTTTCATTCAGCTAGAATCCGTAATTACCAATTTTCTGTTAAAAAAAACTAACAAGAGTTTATATATGTTTTTAGTAAATCTGGTATGTATCTCTTTAAATAGAGGTTCATTTGAAGTAACCTCAACTGTCCCTTTTAAACCTCAAAAATATAGGAAAAAGAAAAACATAAACAATGTGAAACCCTTACGCATTACGACTGTGACTTTAAACTGTAATTCTTTAGAAGGATAGACACTTGAAGTAACGCCGACACTTCCTTTAAGAACTCAAAAAGAGATGAAAAATAAACCTAAACCTCTTACATTACAACTGTTATTCGGGCAGGTATCCTTTAATGGATGGATACACTTGAAGTAACAGTTTCTTAAAAAACTTAAGAAGAGAATCTTAATCTTAACCTTTCACGCGTTACTACTGTAACTTTAGCCTGTAATTTTTTAGAAGGATGGTCACTTGAAGTAACGCCCGCACTTCCTTTAAGAACTCAAAAAGAGATTAAAATAAACCTAAACCTCTTACATTACAACTGTTATTCGGGCAGGTATTCTTTAGAAGGATGGTCACTTGAAGTAACACCGGTACTTCCTTAAGAACTCAAGAAGAGAATGAAAAAAGAGTACCATACGCGGCATACAGTACAGTCCGATCAATGCAAATGTTCGTAGTGTAAAAGAATTCTGGCTTGAATGCAACCCTATATAAAATTATATTTTTAGTTTTTAAAACAATTTGCTAAGGTTAACATAAAGTCATTTTAAGAAACAAATTTCTTCTGTTAATGGGGGAAAGAGATACAGAGTTAACCACAAAGGATGAGACTGTAAGGACGACCTAAAACTCTTTAATTTTTATGCTTCCAAGGTTAAGTTAAGATTTCTGCCTTAAATATAATATTTGTATGACTTATTCCTTGATTAGGAAAAAAAAGTTTACAGTTAAAGTGAACCATTTATAAGGAAACAGATAATATAAATTTTGTTCAGTCTTTTCTAAAGTCTCATTCTTTTTGGGTAACCCTGTATTTAAACACATTAGCAATGATTAATAATTCTAGGTCAAGGTATAGCTTACGTGACTAAGCGTGACTGTCAACCTATAGTTACCGTAAACACTCTCTGGTACTTTTTTTACAGAAGGTGTGGATACTTCAAAGACCACTGCAGTACATGCAGTACATGCATGGTACATGCTGCATCATATATATATTTGAAGAGTTCAAGGTCGTCAATAATTTCTCTTCCTTTGTGGGTAACCCTGTATTATGATTAATTTTATCCAACAAATCTGTAGATCAAACCTGAGCAATAACTCTAAACATGTCAGGAGGATAAAATGTCTCGCCACCCTGTAAACAAAATACGGTTATTTCTTGTTGCAAGTTTATAATGGAAGGAAAGTTAATTGCTGTCGCGTATACTCTGCGTACACATTGAAACCAGTTCACTCTGGGCGGAATTTGTAAACAAGAATAGATGCATCAGTGTTCGTTTAGTATCCGAGGAGGCTAAAAGCATTAAATTTTGATAATTTTGATAATTTACATGACAGTTTCCTATGAACAGAGTATTTCATTGATTTTTTATGTGAAAGATGGATCCCATGTCAGGCTTCGACATCCGTCTTGTATTTACTTTACCGCCCAGAGACAGTACACTGCAGTACAAAAGATTCGTACACCTCTGAAATAACTTTCCTTGCATTATAACCTGGTCTTATTGAATGTTTTATGATTGAGTCTTTTCCACAAACTTTGATTGTCTAATTTATATATCTTTGCGACCCAATGCTGTAGACATTAGATATTTCAAACTATAAATTCTGTCAGATCAAATATTCTTAGTTTAGAAATATCTAGAGATTACACTTTCAAGTTTCAAAGATAAAGGAATCATAAAATTTGAGTTTGTGGCAGAGAATCAATTTCTTGGTTTTGAAGAAAACAATGCTATCATCTTTTTTTTGGACTCATGAAAACATTTTAACAAATTTGAATAAAAAAAAAATATTTTACCTTGGTATAGATAAGTGAAACAGAAACCGTAATGTCTTGAGATGGATTGACACTGATATTTAGGTTCAAGAATCCACCAAGCTTAAACAAAAATAGTTACAATTTAAGCAAATATATCAGAATATTTTATGCAAATTGATCACAGTTTTGAAATAACAAAAAAATACAAGCTAAATGGTGAAGACAAATTTTAACTTTTTTTCAAATATTTTATGTAAACTAACAACTTAATATTTTTTTTAATAGACTACTTAACTTTTTCTTAATAGATTGACTTTTTTCTCTTTTCTTTTATATTTTGTTGGTAATATCTTTTTGGCTCAACAATGAATAATAATATAAAGTCAGGATATAAAATAACGTGGACAAATTTTAATATAAAGAGAAACATATTGAACTTACTTGATCAATTTGTCTTGCATCCAATATTTGATATGGACCTGACCAGTCGGCTTTACTGAACATTAAAAAGATAAAAATACATGCCTTCATAACATTTATTTTATATTTCATTGAATCTCGCTATTTCTAAAAACCTTTTTATGCTAGTTCATGTTAGAACCAGCTCTTAATACAATGGAATTTCAATTGTATCAGATAAATGAGAGTAAAGGATTCAAATGTTGCAGACTATAGATATTATAAACTATGAATTCTGCTTGAGCTTTGCCCTACAGCTTATCATTTAATCCCTCGGGGGGTTTAACTTTAGGCTAACTATGTAACAAAAATAGCGTGAATTGGCGGTAGTTCGAAAAGAAAAATCTTGACAATTAAACTTCTCTAATTTGCAAGGATAATATGATCAAATATTGATCATATTATCCTTGCAAATCCTTGCTAGTTTATCTACGAATTCTATCAGATAAACTAAAGTTTAAGTTCATAATATTAAAGATGTCCAGGATCAGGTTATTTATTATTCTAAGGTCGACACTTTTGTATGAGATTCAGAGATTTATCCCTAAAAAAACAGCTGACAACATTCCCTGACCGGCAGCATATAATTAATGTAGCTTTCCGAAAAAATCAAAAGAATTAACTTAATCCGTGAGACCGCTCAAGAACCGGATTAATCCTTGCTAAGAATTAAAACTGGAAATGTTCCGACATCTAATCATTTAAATGCCAAACTAATGATGATAAAATAAATTGTGTCTGACCGTTTTGTGATTGATAGTTCTCCATTGATCACTTCTCCGTCACAATTATTACATTTCCACGGAGCAATTCCTAGTTAGAAACAATAAGAGTTGAAAGTTAAGCAATCCATGTGTTCTTCTTGAACAATAAGTAGATTGCACGATAGCTGTGTTTTCTTTAAAATCATAAGATAAGTCTAACAGCTGTCTTCCCATTTCACAGTTTTTTGGATCTAACTGTGTGGAGAGGGGATTAATTTTATTGTAAAGAATAAAAGAGCTCGCTATATCAGTTTCTATAATATCTTTGGTTTGTTTACGAAAAAACACTAGTTACCAAACTGTCCTTTACAACAAACCCTTAATACTCATCTTCTTTCTTTTACCCACTTTGATTGTACAAATGTAGATGAAGCATGGTAATAATGAGTTGTTTGAAAAGAGAATTTTCTGGAGTTTTTAAAGAGTTTATCGGTACATTATCAAATCTTAAATGTTGAACCTAATTTAATTAATGGCAAGTTATAGTTGAATTGAGTAGACGTAGTCTACAAGAGTTTTAATTGTTTATTAAATATTTTCCCTTTTGATCTCTTTTAATTGCATAAATTCAGTCAAAATCTAGTTTCTTGGGCGCAGTCCATAGCTTGAATCTTGATGGCCCAGAGGCCAAATTTAAAGAATTTGAGCCGCGGCTTAAATTTAGGCCGCGGCTCAACAATTGTTGGTTCCACTCAAAATTGTATTCAATTTTGCAATATTTAAGCCGGCGCTCAATTGAAACCGGTTTTTTGGCAGATTTAAGCCGCCCCTCAAATTTATTAAATTCGGACACTGGATTTCAGTTTATATTTGTACCTCGGTTACTTTAGGAAAATAATGGTTTGTAATTTTTGACAAATCTAAAATGTCACCTGCTGAAAAATCTCCATTTTGAAGAAGTGATTCTCCAAGACTGTTTACCACTCTCAACAGGAAAACAAAAACTGAAAAATTCCTTTTAAAAACAAGATGAATTGATAAATGTCGATTGTCGAATGCCTTGAACTTTTCTATGATGTGTAATTTTTTTTAAAGTTAAAATGATTCCATGGTGAGAGTATCATAACCATATATGGAGATGTGATATATCATGGAAATTGGATCAAAAAATCAGTCATTAATCACATTTTCAGAAAAAGACAAAATTTAACCCACCGACCTTTTGATACATCATGTATTCTGGAATCCAAGGTACTAATGCAAGGAAAGTTATTTCAGAGGTGTACGCATTTTTTATACTGCAGTTTGGGCGAAAAAGTAAACACAAGAAGGATGTCACACCCTGACAAGGAATCCATTTTCACACAAATAATCTATGAAATATTCTGGTCATAGAAAACTATTAAGTGAATTTTTAAAATTATCAAAATTAAATGCTTTTAACTTCCTCGGATACTAAACGAACACTGATGCATCTGTTCTTGTTTACAAAGTCCGCCCAGAGAGAACTGGTTTCAATATGTACGCAGAGTATACGCAACTGAAATTATCTTTCCTTGCATTATTACCTTGGTGGAACCCATACAACGGTATGTTGTATTGTTCATGACACACAACACTTTTTTAGAATACATCATGAAACGATCTAATTTTTTCACCGCTGAACATTTGTTTATGCTTCTTGGATTTGTTAATGAGTTAAACAAAACACAGCATTAGGTCTAAATCTTCTGAATAACTAAACTATACTCATGCTAAAAGTCTTGTATTGCACCTGTTTTTTTGCCAAACCTTGTCAATCATAAAATGCGATATCCAGAGAAAGGAGTATCTAGTTTGTAAACTTTTATATTGTTTAATGTAATTTTGCTGTAGGCAAATATAAATGATTAATATATAGAAATTCTAATCTCCTAAAAAGAAATTTTCTTATTATTTTCTCTCAGAGACCAAGAGTGCAAGAAAATAATAATAGAATAATAGAATAATAAAAATTTTAAAATTTGTAAAAGTTCTCCGACCCTCAAAACCGACCCAAACCCGAACCAAAACAGAACCAAAACAGAACCAAAACAGAACCAAAACAGAACCAAAACAGAACCAAAACAGAACCAAAACAGAACCAAAACATAACCGAAACCGAACCAAAACCTGCCAAAACCGAACCAAAATCGAACCAAAACCGAACCAAAACCGAATCAAAACCGAACCAAAACCGAGCCAAACCCGAGCCAAACCCGAACCAAAACCGAATCAAAACCGAACCAAAACCGAACCAAAACCGAACCAAAACCAAACCAAAACCGAACCAAAACCGAACCAAAACCGAATCAAAAACCGAACCAAAACCAACCAAAAACTAACCAAAACAGAACCAAATTCGAGCCAAACCCGAACCAAAACCGAACCAAAACCGAATCAAAACAGAACCAAAACCGACCAAAAACTAACCAAAACGATAAACAACCCTGTTGTATAATTTTTGTTTATCTTTTATACACTTTGTTTGCTGCTTCAGATTATTTCCAAAAGCTGATTTTAAGCTGAAATATACCTTTACTTTATCTGAAGAGAAAGCTTATTTTAAGCTGAAATATACCTATACTTCTACTGAAGAGAAAGCTTATTTTAAGCTGAAATATACCTATACTTCTACTGAAGAGAAAGTTTATTTTAAGCTGAAATATACCTATACTTCTACTGAAGAGAAAGCTTATTTTAAGCTGAAATATACCTATACTTCTACTGTAGAGAAAGCTTATTTTAAGCTGAAATATACCTTTACTTCATCTGAAGAGAAAGCTTATTTTAAGCTAAAATATACCTATACTGTAGAGCATGTTAACACTGTAAACTCTAATTTAAAACTGATGCGTCTAATGTTTACCAACATAAAGGTAAACAATGATGATAACATAAATATACCTGACAGTTATCAAAGGAAAGTGTGCAATAAAGGGACAGTTATCAAAGGAAAGTGTGCAATAAAGGGACAGTTATCTAAGGAAAGTGTGCAATAAAGGGACAGTTATCTAAGGAAAGTGTGCAATAAAGGGACAGTTATCAAAGGAAAGTGTGCAATAAAGGGACAGTTATCAAAGAAGGAAAGTGTGCAATAAAGGGACAGTTATCTAAGGAAAGTGTGCAATAAAGGGACAGTTATCTAAGGAAAGTGTGCAATAAAGGGACTGTAAGCATGATTTTAAGTGACCCTCCAGGCACAGATGGCAATTCCGGATTCCCAACGTTACCCTAAATGCTTTGTTGGAAATAGATATTAATGTTTATAATTTTGAAAACTGATTTTTCTCAATTGTGGGTTCTCTATAAAAGTGAGTTTGACTGCAGAAAAACAAATATGAATGATCTGATTTAACACTTTTAACCCTATAAGAAAGACGCTACATTATTGATCAGATAAAAGTTTCAAATGTACAGTTGTAAATCGGGCATTGTCATCTTTGCATGGAGGTCACTTGAAATTACGCTGTCAGTCCCTTTAAGTGTAACCTAGGCTTCCACGGCCAAAGCCTGAATACGATTTTGTCAAATTAAACATCTTTGCCACTTTTGCTTCAAAATTTGAGACTTTTGAATATAAAATCACTCTTTTTCCGTGACACCCAAGATTCGATTTCCTAAAAGTGTAATTTACAAACATATTTTTTTGTGGACACACTCCACACCCCTATCTAGTTAAAATAACAAAATAAAGATTGATCTAAATTCATTTCTGAAAATTACATATTTTTATGATCGCTGTACATGGCAATAAAGATATTCTTTATGTATAATAATAATATGAACCGTTGTGTATGTATTTATGTATCACCTTATTAACCTTTAAAAATATGAGAATTAACACTTGATGGATGCATGAGTTTTCAAGTTGCCTAGGGGTACATCTATCAATATTCAATATAATAATATTATTACCGCTCAAAATTTGCAGCTACTGCTCAGGGCAACAACATAAATTGTTATCATTATTATTGTTATTATCATCTTTTAAACTTTAGCGGTTTGTTAGTGTTGTCACGTGGCTTCGGTGTTGCGGTGATTCTAATATTTGTACATTGTTTTACAAGAGTCTTGACAAAACATTATCATCATGTACGTACTCTCGGGACCCCTTTTCCATTGGAGACCCCCTACTGTCATCTCATCGGAGACCCCGGATATTTAAAGAAGACCCTATTCTTGATGTTGGAGACACGTACCCAGATATTCTTATATTTCTATTGATATTGTTCTTTTATCTTTATTATGATAATTATTATTTTTATTATTACAAGCATATCTGTAAAACTTTAGCTATCTGGTATACTATAGCTGTTACCATGTATTTTGAAAATTGTTTTTTTTCTATTCGGGGAATTCCTATTATTACATATATATGCATGATTTGCATCTGTAAAAACCTTGCACATATTTCTTCATTTTTTGCAATCTGTTATATTCTGGTTTTACATAAAGAGGGTATATATCAGACTCTACAATTTCAAATAAAAACTAATTTTTTTTCTTAAAATTGAGATTTCATGTTGTTTTTCTTATTTGTTTATTTGTAGAGATGTTTTTTTAATCCTGAAAGGAATAATATTTATATTTTTGGTTTAGGCTTCATATTCCTTTTCATGGTTTCGGCACAGGCCGTATTTCAAGGTTTCGGTTTCATGTATTCTTTTTAATTTTTTGGCTACATATTCTTTTCCAGGGTTTTTGATATATATCCTTTTTAATGTTTCGGCTCTATTTCCTAGTTCATAGATTCGGCTACATCTTTTTTTCAAGTTTTTGGCTACATATCCTATTTTAAAGTTTTTGCTATGTATCCTTTTTCAAGGTTTAAGCTACATTCTTTCGCAAGGTTTCGGCTGTATATCCTATTTAAAGGTTTCGGCTACGTATCCTATTTTAAGGTTTCTATTACCTACATCCCTTTTCAAGCTTTCCACAACACTGCATAGCCGGTCACTCCCTTTAAACTCTTAGTTTAGGTAGTTTTAACAATCTAGCAAACTATTTCTTTTGCTTACAATTTGAACAATTAAACATTAAGTTTTCTTTTTTTCTTTCAAAATTGAGAAAAACTCCCCTGGAATCTTGAGGATGAGTACAAACAGCTTCTGCTAAACTAAACCTGGCAATATTTCATTCATATATAATTTCTATTTGTCTTCATATATATATATAATATATATATATACTACTTTTTGCTGTAAAATAGTTTATTAAATCATTAATCTAATAAAAGAACGAAATAGAATAAGTTTCTCAAATACAAAAATGATTTAAAACCTTTTCAAAATAGAAATAAAAATTCCCAACAAAATTATTTCAGAAAGCACTCAATTTCTCTCTAATTTGAAAAAAATTTTCCTTAAAATTTTGGACTCGATTAGTTTAGCCGTTTTTACGATAGGTAGCGCTGAGAAAAAAATCGTTAAGAGCATAGATTTATATTATAGATTAAAGTTGAATATCAACAAAAGGTTTTTTATTCCAGCTGAGTAAATATGAAGTAAATTACAAAAAATCCCCCCCCCCTTCTTTCTAGACCAATAAAAATTAATATAAAAAGGTTATTAATGTTCATCTAATTGATACCAGATATATCGCTTCCTTTCTCAATATTGGAGCATCATTAGGTTATAGAGAGATGAATTGATAGATAGATAGTTAGAAATATAGATAGATACATTGTTGGTAGATAGATAATTATAAAATATAGATAGATAAATGGATAGACAGATAGATATATAGATAGGTATATAGATAGATAGATATATAAATAGATAGATATATAGATAGATAGATAAATACATAAAAATTGATAGATAGATAGATAGATAGAAACAGATTAACGTTGTTCACTCTAGATATTTTTTGCCTTGTTTTGATTTGATACTAATTCAAAGGTTTTTAAATGTTTTTCAGAGCATGTCCTAATAGCCATAGAAATTAGGGGACGACTGAGAGATCTATTTCCGATGGTTAATTAATGAAAAAAAGTGTATCAATCTGTACAGTATTTCTTTTGTGCTTTTCAAAATGTGGTCTGCCTGTGCATCATTAAGATTGTCGGTGATATATTTCTCAATATCTCCCGTCAATTCCGAAGATGCAAAAGTGGTAGACCACATTATAGAATTCCCGAGCATAGCTATTTTAACTAGGATACTATTAAGTTGTGTTAATGTCGCGTGGAATGAAGACGACCTCGAAAATGTCACTTAATGGTGGAAGATACATTTAAGGCTAAGTTTAAAAAAAGGTCTAAAATAAATATTATCTGAAAAGTTTTTAGATAAAAACTAAAAAGTTAAAATAGAGATGACAACTTTTCCTATTATTCTAAACATGATTTTGCATAAAGGAAATTGCATTTTGTCGAGAATATTTTAATGAAATGTTTTGAACAACCCTTTTATTGAAGGAACAGTACACCAGCAATGTTTTGTGAACAAACCTTTTTATTGAAGGAACAGTACACCAGCAATGTTTTGAACAACCTTTTTATTAAAGGAACAGTACACCAGCAATGTTTTGAACAACCCTGTATTAAAGGAACAGTACACCAGCAATGTTTTGAACAACCCTGTATTTATTAAAGGAACAGTACACCAGCAATGTTTTGAACAACCCTGTATTAAAGGAACAGTACACCAGCAATGTTTTGAACAACCCTGTATTAAAGGAACAGTACACCAGCAATGTTTTGAACAACCCCTTTATTGAAGGAACAGTACACCATCAATATTTTGAGCAACCCTGTATTAAAGGAACAGTACACCAGCAATGTTTTGAACAACCCCTTTATTAAAGGAACAGTACACCAGCAATGTTTTGAACAACCCTGTATTAAAGGAACAGTACACCAGCAATGTTTTGAACAACCCTGTATTAAAGGAACAGTACACCAGCTATGTTTTGAACAACCCTGTATTAAAGGAACAGTACACCAGCAATGTTTTGAACAACCCTGTATTGAAGGAACAGTACACCAGCTATGTTTTGAACAACCCCTTTATTAAAGGAACAGTACACCAGCAATGTTTTGAGCAACCCTGTATTAAAGGAACAGTACACCAGCAATGCTTTGAACAACTCCTTTATCAAGGAGACAGTGCACCAGCAATGCTCTCTATAACCCTTGTTGTTCTACAGATAAGCTTTATTTTTTGGCGGATTTAGTTTGTTTGTTACCAAAACTCCGAAATATCAATCCATTCAAATTCTGGAATCAAAGCTTTTTAATTTTCTACATTATTTATTGCACCGAACAGATATGGGGATTACAACATGTGTTAACAAAAAAATGCAAATATAACAGTGATCTTAAGCTTATTTTAAACATCATCCTTTGAGCATAGGATAAAACAAATTGAAAAAAAAAATAATTATATTAAAAAAATAATACATTTCAACAGTAAATAACTGACTTTACAGAACAAAGATACAACTATTGACTAAATCTGCTGAATATTATTCCTTTTTCAAGTTTTTAAATTGAAAACAAAGTCTGGGACATTTAAAATATTTTTTATTGTGAAATGTTTGTTGAAGAGTAGTCTCAATAATTACTAAGCATGGGAATTAGAGAAACTTGAAGTCTTATTGAAACTGAGTAAAACTCGGATTATAATTTTTCTTTTACTTGTGCACAATTCTTTATAATAATAAACTCAGAGATCAATTCATAACAACAAGAAAAAAATAAAATAAAATTAATTATGTTTCCGGTATCCTTTGAGCACTTCCGGTCCCCTGGCCGGAAAGACCGGAAGTATAAAGTTCAGGAATCCATGATGGCCAAACACTCGCCTGAAGTTTGCCATCCAGCTACTAGAATCTTGAACCTGTCGGTCAAAAAGACTATTTTCGGGCTGGTCGTGACCGTGGGGTATGAGGAAGGGGGGGGGAAGGGGAGGGGAGAAAATTCACAATTTAAGCCTAACTTAAGTATTTGCAGCAGATGTGGCTTACAAATAATATTGTACAGAAAGAGGGGGGAATAATTGAAATATTGCACCCGAAGTGAGCCGAAATTCCCCCCCCCCGCTGAAATGTTATTAAGGGATTGTGGTCATTTGTATATCATAACACTGACACGGCTGAGACTGAGAGGAGAAAACTGTTAAATTATTATATAAGAACCTCATTAACACTGATAAATTGGCGCCGCAGTCAAAATTCCATTTGAATTCATTCTCAAAAATCAAAATTAACAAGCTGGAAGTTTCCTGCTCTCTCTCTCTAGTTGTACCCCAAATCTCTCCAGGTATCATTAATTTTAATAAATTATTTTTTTTATGTACAGTTTACCTAAATGTACTGTATAACCCCATACACGTGAGGAAAACGCAGATAAGACAAGCTCCAAGACCAAAATCAAGAAGGAACACATAATAACACTCAAACCCTGAGACAAAAAAAATGGCAAACAAGCTAGTGATAAAATCCATGCAAAGTTCGAATTTTCTAGTTGTAGACCTTGATATTTCAAACTATAACTTATGTTAGACCAAAGAGTTTAAATTCAAAAAATAAAAGGCAGGGGCGTATACGGGAACTTATTGGGGTTGAGCAAAACTATTAATGCGCGTAGCGTGAATTTTTTTTTCTTGGTTATTCCTAGGGGGGAGTAGGGAGACAATAGAGAGAAAATAAACATTGAATTTGACCTCATGTCTTTTATCTTTAACCAAATAATTTTCTTTTAACCATTTGGATTTTGGAATAACAGAAATTTCTCTCTATCTTCTGAAGCTCATTCTTAAAAGCATCAGAAAATACAGTTAGTTTCATGAAACTGTGAAAATGGAGGACGACATTGGAGCAATAACAGGCGTAATGGTCGAGGTTGTAATGAAGCAAATAGTTTAATAGTTTGATGAAGTGAATTGACCTGACTGTTCACCACAATTCCTTTGTTTATATTCAAAATAATATCTTGAATTTATCACTTTACACTATATTATTTAAACACATCAAAGAAACCAAAATCTCACTCAGAAAATAGATTTAAGTCAATTAAAATAATCAAAATCGTGGAAAAAGTAAATAATCAAAATGGCGCTTAGAATTTTTACCTGCCGCTCTATCAAACATGTACATTACAAAGATGAAAGGGAAGAAGAAGTAGATGGATTCCTTAGTAGATACATCTCTAAACAAACAATATTCTAATTTAGGTTCAGTTTCATTAGTTTGTTCGAGTTTATAGTGATCACAAAACAATATTGAACTGAAAAATGGATCTGCTGCAGCTAAAGGTTTGCAACCTAAGATATTTGAAACTATGAATTCTGTAGATACTTTAAAATGGTTTGTACCATCAGGTTGCAAAGATATATGGATTATAATGTTTCAGTTTGTAACAAAAACTCTATTCCCTTTTAATTATATTTTTTGAATAATTTTGACTTTTGTGGAAATTAAATTGATTAGTAATCTATGATGTAAAAAAGGGTTCTTACCATCAAAGCTAATTTTATATCTTAAAATACAAAAAAAAAACATCTAAAGATTTTTTTACTTTTACAAATGAATATTTTCACAGAATTTAAATAATAAAACTTTCCGGATGATAAAGTTTAAAAATATAAGATTTATAAATTGTAAACAAAATTAAAATTGTTTCGTGTGTTTCCGTGGCCCCCCTGTACCTGTAGTATGTCATAACCTCCATGATATGGTAGAGACCGTATGCAGTTCCTGGATTTCCAGATTTTACATTTCTTTTTCAGGTTTTATAGAAACTTATTTTGAAATTGAGGAAAAGTAGTTTAAGATGTCAGACAACGAGGATTGTTAATTATGAGATAAAGAAACTCTTTTATAAAGCTTTAAAAACATTTTTTTGGCTTAAAGAGCCTGTCAGCGTAATTTTAAGTTGTCCTTCATGCAAAAATGACAATATTCAATTCACAACGGTACCCTTAAAAGCTGTGTCCGATTAAGCTTGGATTATGTATCAATGTTTAAATTTCAAAAACTGATTATTTTCAATTTTGGGGTTTCCACAAAAGTGACTAGCGCATTTCTACTGCAGACAAGCATACAGGGAATATTAGAATTAAAAAATTTTAAACCTAGAAAATCTTCCACATTAATAATCAGATAATTTCAAGGGTTTTGTTATGAATCTTGAATTAGCCTCTTTGTNTCCCCCACCCACCGTGAAAATTAATATATGTTACATGTAAACAGTAGCTATGTCGACAGTTCTTTAAGAATCAAAGATGTATAAGCTGTGCCTATGGCTGCATAGAAGCAGAAAAGAATAAAATATTTCATATTTTTCCTTCCTGAGAGAGACAAATGTTAAACAATGAAATAAATTCAAGAATTATCTTAGAAAAAATAATTATCACAAAGACAGACATAAGAATCAAACTGCACTGCAAAAATGCAATGCAACAATTGAAGATGGCATTCTGATCATTATCAATATTATTTATTTTACGAAATGTAAATTTTCTATAAATAAAGAAGATTTTTTAAGCACCCAAAGCCAAATTCACCTTACCAGTCTTTAAATTTTGTTAAATTTTAATTTTATATTTCTTAGTGCTCATCAGAAAGGAAAAGATAATTTTTTTATTTTGTTTTTTTTTTATAGTTTTCATAATTTTACATTTGATCTTTCCTACGCAGTGCCCAAGAAAGAAACAGTGATGGTCCAGCACATAAATACATTTTCTAAAAATAAATACATTTTGTTAAAAATAAATACATTTCCTGAAATAAATACATCTCCTAAAATAATAAATTTCCTACAACAGATTCATTTAAATAATTAAATGTTTAACTAAGATAATTTTTTTTGATCTCCTAAAGATACTAATTCTTTTCCTGAATTAAATTCCTATAATATTTCCTTAACATTTGCCTAAAATAAACAAAAATCTCAGCAAACAGGTGTATTTCTTAAAACCCAAATTTATGCAATGGGGGAGGGGGAGGGAGGGGGGTATTCCAATAATTGCGCCTAAATTCCATTTAAATCTTTCTGTGTATAAATGCAATGGAAGGATAATTTCCTGTTTATTATATTCCATGTCCGATTTGAGGAAGAAATCCAGATTTTCTGTCAAAAAGTGGTAAACAGTCAGAGTCTAGTGTCAGTCATAATCATGAAATGTTTTTATCAAGCTCCCTTTGAATCTACAGGGTGAGTCTAATAAAAACCTCAAGATTTAAGATCAATGGGAAAGTTTACGAAAAAAAAACTGACTTTTAACGGACTCTTAAAAATTTATAATATTTTTCATCATTTAATCCTGACGAATCTAGTCTCCAGAACATTCAGAAATAAAATCTAGCTTTTTAAAAAAAATTTAAAAATAAATGTACTTTACTAAAACTTGTTTAAGACTTTAAAGATATTTAAAAATTGTTAGAAAATTCTTCCAAAACATTATATAACTTCAAATCGGAAAAAGGTTTACTCCGTTTAAAAAAACAAAAAGAGTAAACACCCCCCCCCCCCCCCACGAAATTTTTGTCTGCCATTTTTTTCTTTAATTAGTTTCCCGCATTATTCATTTATGGTTTCCCGCATTTGTTTGTTGAAGGTGAAGATAAACCCTTTCAGCTTTCTGGTTGAGCCTGTTTGTAAAGTTTGACAGAAATTTAAAGTTTGTTTGCATAATTAATGTTAATCTTATTTAAAGTTTGCCAGCTCTGGAGTGCAGAGGGCTGAGTTGGCTCTCATGTGAGAATTCGAATTTTAGAAAGATTAAAACAGGGAAAAGGAAATCGTTTAACAATCATAACGCAGGCAAAGTACAAACATTGCTTAACTCAAAATAAAGACTTTTAAAAAATGAAAAGCGGACGAAACTTTATTCCAGTGATTAGGATCCGGATCCGTTGGATTCGCAACATTTTAGCTCCCTGTATCCGAATCTGCAAAAATATGCGGATCCACGGATCCGGATTCAGAGGGCAAAATATCCATCAAAAGTTGTACAAAATCTTCTCAAACCAAAATCAGATCTGTTTAAAAAAGAGAGATTTCTTTATTTCTGAATGGTTTATTAAATTTTAGCATAAAAGCAAATGAAAAAAGATTGAAAATTCATCTGTTGTTAAAAAAATTAGTAAATTTTGGAAAAATCTTCGTGACCTGGATCCGGATTCACTTAAAAACAATTTAAGATTGAGACCTACATAACTGTTGAAGACGACTTTTCTGTACACTTTTCTGCTTTATAACAACATCAAATACCAAAACAATTGCTGTCGTCTTCACATCACAAAGTTTTACGGGTCTCACTGTATTCATAAATTTTGAAAATATAAAATTAACAATTTATCCAATATTAAATCATATCTGTAGAAAGAAGCTCCAACAAATCAGGATATTTTTGATATTTCAAAATATTCAAATTTTTTAATAAAAATACAAAAAGCAGCAATAAATACCTGCAATATGGACAGTGATGTGAACGCAGTGGAACAAAAAGATTACAGGGATAACATTCCTTATACCTAAAAAATTGGTTAAGTATGGTTTCTTCAAGTAAACGTTAAAAAAGAAACATTAACACAAGTTATACAAGAAACCTTTATATATGTTATACAAGAAACCTTAACACAAGTTATACAAGAAACCTTAACACAAGTTATACAGGAAACCTTTATATATGTTAGACAAGAAACGTTAACACATGTTATACAAGAAACGTTAACACATGTTATACAAGAAACCTTAACACATGTTATACATGAAACCTGAGCACATGTTATACATGAAACCAAACACAAGTTATACAAGAAACCTTAACACAAGCTATACAAGAAACCTGGGCACATGTTATACAAGAAACCTTAACACAAGTTTCACAAGAAACTTAAACACAGTAATATTAGAAACTCAAACACAAGTTACACAAGAAACTTCAAAGCTATATAAGAAACAAAAGTTATAGCATTGCCAACAAAACATTTGAACACGGAAAATTAAGAAAAATATTTTAACTTTTTGTCTTGTTAAATGAATATTTAAACGAAAAACAGTAAAATCATAAACAATGTGAATATTATTATCAAATCTAAAATACCTTTCCATTTGTGAGTTATTTATACTGATTTCATATTCTTGATTCAGTTTCATGCTGAAAAAGAAAAAAGTTTCAATTCATTAAAACATTATTTTCTCTTCCAATAAAACAATGCCTTCTTTGACATGTTAGAATCTATTTTATTGTGTTGTGGATTCTGAATCCATATTGATAAAATCCACCCGGATCCGAATCCAACTGAATGTTCTCATTTAAGGGGTGTTTAATTGTAAGATTTTTTCTCAACATTTAATTTATTTTTCCCAATTCAGCGAAGCTTTTCTGAGAAGAGGGGATGATTTAAAAAAATTACACCTTTTTACAGGGTGTCCCACAAAACATGACATTTAATAAATCGTTATTATTAGTTAAAAAATCTTTTGCTTCATTATATTCTACTTTTTTTTTAAATGCCCTAATATTGTTCTTGACAAGTTTATGCTTTAAACTAAAAAACTTACTTGTTGACAAGAGCAGGAAATTGTTCTGTAGATGTTGAAATAATTGATCTGTTCCTAAAATTAGAAGAAGAAATAAGCCTTTATAGCAGGGTATAGTTTTAAACAATTGGATGTTACAAAAGATGTACAAATTGTACTTATCTCTGTATGGAAATTTGTCTTTAATGTCCGCTACCCGGTTAAAAATTAAGTTTAGAGAAATTTAAAATTTATAAATATTTCGAAATCATTTACTATACAAAGCCCAAATCGTGGGTTTACATTCATACTAGCTTGGGAACCGAGCTTTACTTGGAAACTAAAATTTCTCTGTAAAAGTCAACTCACTAAACCTAGAATTTGAAAACCAAGCTAAAAAAATTCCCGTGGTGCTACCGAGTTTCCCAATTTAAAAGTTGGGACAAATCGATAAAGAGGTTTATAAAATATGATCGGAAACACATACATACATACATACAGACACCCAAACAAAGATGATTACTTAACATAGAAATTCAGGTAAATGGTGAAAAGTAAAAATGTTGTAAAACTATTTTAACCTGTAAAACTGGATCCAATTAAGAATAAGTTGGATAGGGATAAAGAAACACATCCATATAGACAATCCATCCGTTATTCGTAACTTGCCAGTGGTTAGGGTTATGCCTAAACATTAAAAATATTGTAGATTAATTATTGAAATCATTTTTTTCAAAGTATAAAAACAAAAGTTTTTAACTTTATGAAATCAGTAGTTTTCTACAATTTTGCCCAATGTCTGTTTCCCGAGAAAAAGTTTTAAGTGGCAAAGGCCCTCATTTGGGATAATATTGGTTCGGGAAAAGTTTATTAGTCAATCAGATACTTTGAAATTACACACTTGAAAACCAACAAATTTACCCGCTATGAGGAATGCATTGAATGCTGGCAAAACTTTTTGCAAAAAAAATTCTGCAACAAGATCTTGAGATTTTGCAGACAGCATTTCTCTGACTAAGCTCCCCAACTTGGCTTTCATCAAGTGAAACTCCATTTTTTAAATTGATCCTAGATCTTCAACATCTGAAAGCACAGTCGAATAAAGTAAGCTACAGACATAAGGAATATTAAATCAGAATCAGTATCATCTAGGACTGCTGTACTCAGAGCTGTCTTTAGAGCTTTCTTCAGAGCTGTCATCAGAGCCGTCTTCAGGGGTATCCACAAAGCTGTCATCAGAGCTGGCATCAGAGCCGTCTTCAGAGCCGTCTTCAGAGCTGGCATCAGAGCTGGCATAAGAAATGTCTTTAGAGCCGTCTTCAGAGCTGTCATCAGAGCTGTCATCTGAGTTGTCATCAGAGCCGTCATCTGAGCTATCTTTAGTGCTGTCATATGAGCCGTCTTAAGAGCTATCTTCGTAATTATAAACAGTGAGAAGAAGCTTAAAGCTTAACAAATGCTAGTTCAAATAATTACTTAGTGCACTTTTGGCTTCTTAAAGAAGAAGTTTAACTATCCTTACTTAGTTCAACTACTTCTAGATATTCATTAATTCCGACCTCTGGTGAAGGTAAATTCAAATTGCTGAATTCCTCATATTCTGCATCTGTAAGAGTGTCTTGAGCTTGTGGGATGAAATCACTAGCACTATTGCTGGAGATAATTGCTCTCGGTTTAGAAAGCTTTGCCACCTTTTTTCGTGCTTCAGTCCAATCCTTTTCGCGAAATTTGCTTTTGTTTTTTGTAAACTTTTTTTGAATCTGTCTAATATGATAAAATCAGTTTCGGCACACGTGATTCATTGCTGCCTGGAACTCCTAAAAAAAAATATTCCTTTAGAAAGAGTACAGTGGACACTATAAAAGTAAAACATTAAAACTTCTAATAAGGTTCATACAGTAGAAACTCTAACCTTTAAAATGGAACCATAAAATAAATAGACGACATGTAGGCACAAGGCAATTCAATGTATATTTGACAAATTGTAAAACATCGGGTAATTTCCTAGTATACGATTTTTGGACCCCCCCCCAGCCCCCCCCCCTCCTATCAATTTTGTACATGGGTCTGACAGGATGTGTCTTAACTTAACCTAACCTGTGGCCGCAGCGCTCGGCCCCCAAGCCCATCCTAGCCGCAGCGCTCGGCCCCCTAGCCCATCCTAGCCGCAGCGCTCGGCCCAGAAAGTGTGGCCGCAGCGCTCGGCCTTTCCTTAACCTAACCTCTTTCCTTAACCTAACCTAACCCTAAATAACAAAAAAATAAATAATAATAAATTTGCTGAAAAATAAATGGTCATGTACAAAATTGATAGGAGGGGGGGGGGGGGTCCAAAAATCGTATACTAGGACAGACCCAAACATCGTATTCAAGGAAATTACCCATTTATAAAATACAGAGCTGTCGGGAATTTCCAAAAAGCTTGTTTAAGAAATGAACTAAAATTAACACATGTGATATAAATTTAAATATCCTTACCGCAAATAGTGTTTTGTAAATAGAAAAACTGTAAACTCCAAGTTGATTGGTTACTTCTTTTTGACAAAGATCACACCTCTTCAATGGCTTTCTCCGAGTAGTTGAAACTTTCACTGATTTAGATGATCGCATGATGGAGGGTATAAGAGATTAACAAGATCTTCATGAAGCTCTAGACATTTACTAAATTAACGGCGATCAAATTCATCAAATCATTGATCATCGGTTGCCATCTTTTAAAGTGAACATGAACGTCTATGAGTTATTACATGAAAAAAACTCCTCTAGAAAACGCCCCAAAGCCGACCGTAAAGTCTTAAAACTTTTAATTATATATCCGTATCGATTGTTACGGTTTTAACTTTTGTTCTGTTTATTTTTTAAATCAGCTGACTTCATTCAATAATTTTATTTAGAGTCCTATGAAACAAAAAAATTTAAATGTTTCTCAGCAAATTATATTTTTTCGTCTCTAAAAATCATAATATATTTTTGGTTCTAAGATACACTTTTATATTTTTTCCTAAAATTCTTTACCAAACCCGCAACCGCTATTAAACAAAGACGACTAGAAGGATAGTGGGGATCCTCCCACCTCAAATACAAACGCGGCCTCTGCGCTTTATTATTTTTTATCAAATTTTTATCAAATATCTTCGGATCAAACTAGCAAGCCCAACATTGATTATTGTTATGTTTTAGAATTTAAAATGGACGTGAATGATGATATAAAGAAGTTAACCCAGCAATGGCTGGACTGGGATAAGAACGAAAGTTCTAAATCTCAAATAGAAAATATTTATAAACTTGAAGATTGGGTTGAACTGAGGAAGATTATGATGAAGAGACTTGAGTTTGGTACAGCAGGGATCAGGGGTAGGATGGGCCCAGGGTTCGGTCAAATGAACGATCTTGTCATAATTCAAGTTACCCAGGGACTCAGGTAAGTTAATATTTTCATAATTAAAAATTCGCATTTTCCAATGAAATAAAAATTGGGTCGTCTGTTTTAGAGAACGTTTTCATCCCCTCCTCCCATCCTATTATCTACACCCTCGATTCAAAGTATTTCTAATTGAAACAATTGTGACATTTATAATGTATTATTACAGACTTTGGCTAGTATAAACTTCAGGCACACCGCTCAGCCCAGAAATTATTTTACCTCAACTAACCGTAGTGTTAAGTCTTTATGTCAGATTCAAAAGCATACATGCTAAAATCCAGATCTCAGAATATTTAAACGGGTCCGTCCTACTATACGATTTTGGACCCCCCCCTTCTATCAAGTTTGTACAGCAAAATTATTATTGTTCCGAGCAGTGCGGATAGGAGAGGCTAGGGGGCCGAGCACAGCGACTAGGACAGGCTAGGGGCAGGGCGCTGCGGCCACATGATCAATTATATCAGCCTGTATATAATGTTTTTAAATTCTTATTTAGGTCCTATCTTCAAAAAACAGATTTGGAAATTAAAACCAAGGGGATTGTGTTTGGTTACGATGGCCGGCACAATTCTCGTCGATGGGCCACACTTTCGGCCGGGGTCTTTCTACGAGAAAACATTCCTGTTTATCTGTTCAATACAACTACTCCTACTCCATTTATTCCCTTTACTATCACCAAACTAGGATGCTCTGCTGGTGTTATGGTGACTGCAAGCCATAATCCCAAATGGGACAACGGATATAAAGTTTACTGGAGTAACGGGGCCCAGATATTGTCTCCCATAGATAAACATATTCAGGAGGAGATCCTCTTAAACCTGAAACCGGAGGAGAACGCTTTCACCGAACCTGCTGATGATCATCATCTACTCCGGGATCCAATGGATCAGGTCTACGATCCCTACTTTGATGTGATCAAGAACGGCGTATACAACCTGGAGAGAAATAGTAACCTTGATATTCCAATAGTTTACACTGCTATGCATGGTGTAGGTGACCCTTATGTTCATCAAGCTTGGAAATCTGCAGGATTTAAGGCACGGATATCGTCTCAATCATAGATTAAATAATCAAGCCAAAAGAAATTCGCAGATTTTAAAACGTTTTGTTTAGTCATAGACCTGAAACTCATAAAGTAAAGCTCAATGTTAATTAAGGCGTCTTAAATATAGTCTTTTTATGGATTATATAATGATTTGACAAAAAAGAAACACTTTACAGTAAGAAAACATTCAGTTTAAATTCTACACAGTCGTCTCTGAAGTCTCATCCTTTGTGGGTAACCCTTTATAAAAAAGTCCCATTCAAAACTAGAGCCCATTTCGTTCAGACTTAGTTAATTATTTAGATAGTTTTTTTTAGAAACTTATCATTTTGTAGATACTTATTATTATTTAAATACTTATTACTTATTATTATTTAGATACTTATTTCTTATTATTATTTAGATACTTATTTTGATAAACATTGAACACGATATCATCGTATAAGGAGACAACATTGCATTCTGTAGAGGAGCAATCTGATCCAGATCCTGAGTTTTCTACGGTTGATTTCCCAAACCCTGAAGAGGGAGCTAGCGCTCTGGACCTATCCTTCCAGAAGGCGAACAGAATTGGTGCAAAGTATATCCTGGCGAATGACCCCGACGCTGACCGGCTCGGAGTTGCGCAGAAGACCGAAGATGGTTGGAAGATTTTGTCTGGAAATGAGTTAGGAGCATTGTTTGGGTGGTGGATTATTACTAATTACAAGGTAAGATTAGGATGTTTTGAATTCTACCTTCATTAATTATACAAAATATTTTTCTCTGTTGGCATTTTGGTAAAACTTTGAGGTGACGTCAGCAGTTTTTTCATTCATTAAACAATAAACATAAAACATATAGGTTTTGTATAGAATAGAATATTCACAACTTGATTTCTAAATTTCTGAGTTATGGCAGATCAAGTAATCAAGCATATCATTTCTTAAATTAAAATAGGTCATGTGCAATGTGCATTCAAATGACAATTTAAACATTTAATTTAGAATTAAAAAATATTAATATATATTTTCCACATTCTAGGAAAAGAACCCGAATGCTGACATGTCCAAGGTCCACTGCATGGCCTCCACGGTGTCCTCCAAGGTACTGCACACGATCTGCCAGGCAGAGGGCGCTGTGTTTACTGAGACCCTGACTGGGTTCAAGCATATGGGGAACAAAGCCCACAAAGTCATGGTGGAGGGGGAAACCGTTCTCTTTGCTTTCGAGGAGGCTATAGGATTCATGTGCGGTAGTGCAGTGTTGGATAAGGTAAGGAACGTGTAAAAATGAAGTTAACTAATACAGAACCTATGACCTCAAAAACGGTTATTTTCTAGGATGGAGTATCTGCTGCTGCAGTAATGGGTCAGCTGATCGCCTACTTGGAACCCCAGAAATTGACTCTACTCGACCAGCTGGAGACTATCTATATCAATTACGGGTATCATTGTACCCTGAACAGCTACTACCTGTGTTATGAACCTCCCACTACTGACAAGATATTTAAGAGAATCCGGGAGTTTAAATCTCTTCCGAACACGTATCCTGAGGAGCTGGGAGGAGTCAAGGTGACCAATGTTCGAGATTTAACAACAGGGTTCGATTCAAAGCAACCTGACCAGCGAGCTATTCTTCCTACATCAAGGTAGACGAATAATTAGCATTAAAGCGTTCACGACGGCTTAAACCTTTGTCTAAAAAAGAATGAGATTCCATCTTTTTAACTTTTAAAATTTATTATTTTCAATTATGATTTCTTTTAATGGAGGCTCACTTAAAATAACGTCGACCAACACCTCAATGAATAACTTTTTTATAAAGAATTGCTAGATTTATTGAAAGTCTAGTGTTGAGAAAGAAAATAAATCTTAACAAATGTCGGACTTGATCTAAGTATTTTTTTCCTGGATTATGTTTAGATCAAAATTTTACCGGTTTTGATAAGTCCATATTTGTAGACGTTTTCCTCTGCTCTATCATAACTATTTTCAGGTCTAGTCACATGATCACATTCTGGTTGGAGAACGGAATAGTTATTACTCTGAGAACCTCAGGAACTGAACCTAAGCTCAAGTACTACACGGAGTACTGCGCCAAGCCAGGACAACCTAAGGAGTCGTGGATCGAGTTGGAGGAAGAATTGATTAGGATTGTCCAGGATACGGTTGAATCACTTCTTCAACCTGCAGTACACCATCTCAAACCTAAACCTAATTAATCTCTCAATATTCTTGCTTTTCTTATAAACGTTAGGGATAGTATTTACTGTACTGTGATTATTGGGGCGGGATGTAAACAAACACATTACTGTACTATTGGTATTAATGCCATTTTGTCAAATTATTTTCTCAAAGAACTTTGATCTTTATGCAATTACTTAGATCTGATGAACTGTAGTCAATATAGTCATATTTTATTTTTTATATTTTTATATGTATAATTCGCGTGTTTTGCGGGAAATCTTTATCTAGTCTGCAGATATCATTTATATGGCATGTAAGGAATTTTTTCTATAAATTTAGCGGACTTCGTTGGTTTTGGGTAAATATCTTGCCAGAAAAAAGGTTATATTGTTCAACATTTCAACTTGGAGAGGTTCAACGTAATAATAATAAAGAATTTCACATGTTTCCTTGATCAATACAACCCAATATCTGATAAATAGAATCTCGCCTATTTTTCTTAAATAATGTTTAATTTCAGATGAGGGTTGAAAATGTCGTTATCTAGCCCTGATTGAGAAGAGACCTGTACGCGTGGACTAGTATGGAGAAACGCGAGGAGAGTTCCAGCTCCGAGGTCTATATCTCCAGGGAGTGGCTCTACACTAAGGTAAAACTGGACCAGTAAAAATAAAATAACGGTGTTGAACATAAAAACCTAACCTCCCCACCCCCCACCCAAAAAAATTAATAATTAAAAAACATTTATTTTTCCAAATATTCAGTTGATGTTTTTGTAAACAAAAAATATAGTTTTTCTTTTCAACTTAATGTTCGTGTTTTCTATTACCACCCTCCCCCTTTTCCTTGTTTTCTCATATTTAACTGAGTACCGAGTGTTAAGTATAATGTTTCATGTCTGTAATCTAAAAATGTGTTTCATTCTCTATTTGGAGAATATATGTTTTATTAAACATACAAGTTTTGTCGGATCAAAGCTTAAAAAGATCCAAGATAGAATAATTAAATTACTAAAAAAATTAAGTTTTTAATTCTTGTTTTCTTGTTTAGATCCTAGATGCTAGTCAGAAGAAGTATCATGGTAAACTGTGTGGGGTTGTTCTTGCTGGTGGTTCAGGGGCAGGCAAAACAACCTTTGCAAGGTAAACTATGTGGAGTTGCTTTTATGGGGGTTCGGGGGCAGGCAAAACAACCTTTTCAAGGTAAACTGTGTGGGGTTGTTCTTGCTAGGGGTTCGAGGGCAGGCAAAACAACCTTTCCAAGGTAAACTATCTGGGGTTGTTCTCGCTGTTGGTTGGGGTGCTGGCAAAACAATCTTTCCAAGGTAAACTATGTGGGGTTGTTCTTGCTGGGGGTTCGGGGGCAGGCAAAACAACCTTTGCAAGGTAAACTATGTGAAGTTGTTCTTTTATGGGGGTTCGGGGGCAGGCAAAACAACATTTGCAAGGTAAACTATGTGGGTTTGTTCTTTATGGGGGTTCGGGGGCATGCAAAACAACCTTTGCAAGGTACAGTAAATGTGGAAATTAAATAATGAACATTAAAATTGTTTTCGATCCTTATATTTACCTCTTCAAATTATTTAAAACCATGTTTAGAAGGTACGTTGTTAAAGAGAATTAAATTACGCAATTTGTTCTTCTAAGATTTATTTATTTATCAGGATTTTACAAGATAAAAAGCGCGTTACTGTTTAAAATCGTCTTTTACAGAGATACAAAAAAGTTCAGGGGTGTATATATTCTCTAAGATCCATATCCCTCCATTTCGAATAATTTTTGCCCCAAAGTTGGTTGTACAGTGGAGCGTTTTGATTACCCTAAAAATCAATTACCAGGATCCTCTGTGAGATTTTAAAAAAAATTTTAAACCCCTTTTCAAGCATTTCTGTCGCTGTTAAACATCCAATTTTTTTTCAGTTTAATTTAGGTTTGTTTTTGAATTCTTGCTAGTCATGTTTTCATCGATTTTTCTATTCTTAAAATAATAAAAACTTTTTGTTTCAGAAATACGTCTTCCTTCTTAAAAAGTAATCTTGAGGTATTTCTTCACGTAATCCTATGTTTATTGTTTAGCCAACTGTCCGTTGAGAAAATTGGATCAAGGAAACATACTCTTATCAGGAACAAACTGGTGGCCTCATACCTTATCCCAGCCTCAAGGTAAATACAGGGGTGTATATTTTCTTGAAAATCATTCCCCCATTTTGAAAATCATTTTTTAAGGGTTTTATTAGCGGAAAATAAATGATTTTTAAAGATAAGTAAAAAAAATTTCGGGTTAAAAGTAGACAAAGTATGAAAAAACTTGCCTAATGACGTTTCATTTTCATTTTTTCCATAGATCTTCATAAATTATTTCTGAAAAATTATATTCCCCTGAGGAAAAATATTTGCTATTTGGAAGTTTTAATCATTCATGGCAATTTCCCATCTCTCAAATGACTACTCTGTACTCCGTGCACTGCATAGGGTTCTAGACACCTTGTACAATTCTTGAACTTAAGAGTACATTATATTTTAATAATTCATAAACTGTACTAATTATTAACTGTTCGGTAGGATGAGTTTTAGGAACCTTGTAAAAATCTAGAACTCTGTGTACATGAGATTCTAATAAATTATGTACAGTACTAATTATTAACCGTACAGGGAAATTAGTTTTAGGCACCTTGTAAAAATCTTGAATTCTGTGTACATGAGATTCTAATAACTTATGTACTTTACTAATTATTAACTGCATAGGCAGATGAGTTCTAGACACGTACGTCGTACAATTCTTGAACTGTGTGTACATTATATTTCAATAATTCATATACTGTACTAATTATTAACTGTTAAGGGAAATGCGTTTTAGGCACCTTGTAAAAATCTGGAACTCTGTTTACATGAGATTCTAATAACTTATGTACTGTACTAATTATTAACTGTACAGGGAAATGAGTTTTAGGCACCTTGTAAAAATCTTGAACTTTGTTTACATGAGATTCTAATAACTATGTACTGTACTATCATCTGTTTACAGGGAAATGAGTTCTAGACACCTTGTACAATTCTTGAACTCTGTGTACACACAGCTATGCGAGTCAAACTGTCTCGTTGGGTTCAGACGTCAAGAAGAGACAGGTTAGGAGAAAACTAGTTTTGCTCAAGATGATACATAAAAATTTAAAAATACCTGAATGAACGCTTCAATAATTTGTGGATGTAAGTAACCCATGTTTACGGAAAAGTTTATAAAAAGGCTATAAATCCAAGCCACTCATCATTTGAAGGATTTCATGCCTAATTTTCAGTTAAAAAGTAAGAATATTTCCATAATTTTATAATGTAGAATACCGTTGTGAATCGGCCATGTAAATCTTCAGTAGGGTTGCTTAGAATAGCGTAAATAGCCACGTTAATTAATGTTTAGGTTGGTTACGTGAGGCAGTTGATGACCCTGACGAGATATTTAAGAAAGTTGTTCTTTTTCCTCTTCTAGAATGTGAAATCAAACATAAGGTGATCTAATTTTCTAATCTAGTCTGATTTCTCTACAGTGGACATTAATCAGCTAGTCTGATTTTTCTTACGGTTTGCTCTTTTTATCTACTTTTTTCATTTGTTCGTTTATTTGCGTTTTGTTGTTTCTTTTTTTTCTGTTCTGTTCCGTTCTATTCTATTCTTTTCTATTCTATTCTATTCTATTCCATTCTATTCTATTCTATTCTATTCTATTCTATTCTATTCTATTCTATTCTATTCTATTCTATTCTATTCTATTCTATTCTACTCAAGGTTGTAATATTTCTGGTGGATGGATTAAACCTTGAGCTGCTGAGCTCTGGAGACCTAAACCCGGACACGCCCAGTAGGTCCATCCCGGAGATTCTCTCTAGACACGCCCACCTTTTCCCTAGGTAAAGAGTTTCCAAACCAAATATATGAGATGTGAAATTTATCTGTCCTATTTCAATATTTTAAATCTCGACTCTTTTCTCTCTTAAGAAAATATCTATCTTCTGTTCTCTAGCGTCTCATACCCTAAAACAAGAGTTTGCACTTTGCAGACTCTAAGCTTTGATTCATTTGGGTCTAACTACCCTACAATGATATCATTTATACAGAGTTACGAGTAGAATTGTGAATATTGAAATTACATTTATTGTTTACAGATTACAAAAATATATGAAATAAATACAGGGAGTTAAATAATAATGGTAGCCTAAGGGTCAACAGTCCTTGACCAGCATCATCCTGATCTTCAAATCCCCCCTCCCCCTTCTATTGGCTTGTTTAGTTCAGATATGACATTCCAATTAAACTTTTTATGTAATTAACTGCGCTTTATTTTGAACAACCATGAAAGATGTAAGAAAATTATCAAATAAATTGATAAAGTGTTAGCTATTGCAGAATGGCCTATCCTGCAAGACTAGTTTATTACTTTTCAAAGTTTAAAGTAAAATTAAATAAAAATAAAATGAAAGTTTTGTTTATCTAATTAATTGTGTTATTTAAAGATGGCTGCTTCCAGTGTTCACCACGCGGCAATCTACCGCCATTACTGCGCATTTCCCGGGTTTTCGAAGGATTAGCATAGATGACTTGAGGAAAACACAGGTACTGTTAACCCTTGATATAAATTGTTTCATGAAACAAATTATAAAAAGCGTAATCCAGGTTATCCAAGATATCCAGCAGCTTATTATTGCCAGGCTTAATGTTGATCGGAGTATTGCTAAACAGGTGAAATTAATCATGATTTTGGATTTTTGGATTTTGATTCACACAAACATGTACATTGTGCCTAACACCTGGGAAAAATGAATGATTTTAAAAGAGAGGGGAAGGGGGGTGGAGATTTTTAAGAAGATATACACCCCTTCTTCCACATGTAAATTTAATAAACTTTAGGCATAATTTCTAGAAGCTTTGCTATGATTCACAAGTGTTTTTGTAAAGGTGACCAAGGAGTCTACTGAACTGCTGAGCCTTCTCCATGTTAAGTCTGCAGGATGCTTCTTGTATATCAAAAAGGTATGGCTAAATATGCTGAAATAAGATAGATATTAGATTTTGAATTTGATTGGCTGCTTCAAGAAAACCTGTTTATTGAAATACTACAATATATGAAGAAATGCTTGAATTGACATCTCTTGATTTTTTGGTCGATCGATGGTTAGCATTTTAATGCTTGGAAAAAATATTTAATTAGAGTTTCATCACATTGATCGGTAGATGGTACTGCTGATTGATTAATTGTTTGATTTATTTTTTGATCAATTAATTGTTTGATTTATTTTTTGATCAATTAATTGTTAAATTGTTTTTTGATTGATTGATTTTTCATGTGTTTGATCTAATGTTTGATCTTTTTATTGTTCAATTGATTTTTTGGCTAATACATTGATTAATTGATTTATTATATGTTTGATTTATTATTTGATCGATTGATTGTTCAGATGATTTATTGACTAATGTATTGATTGATTGGTAAATCCGAACTTTATATCACATTGATTTATTTATTGATTGATCTATTGATTTATTTATTAATTGATTGATTGATTTTTAATTTCTAAATGCTTAACTAGGTATTGGACGGTATATCCGAGCATTATATCACCTTGGAGGAGATCCGAGAGATCCCCGGCACTCTCAACGGTCTTTATCTCTGGCTCTGCCAGAAGCAGTTCAACAAGAAGAACTTTCCAAAGGTTTGAAATTATTTTTACTGTAGATAATTTGATATAAAAACTACTTGAATATTGATTGTCTAGGTTCGGCCTTTGATAAATATCCTCCTAGCTTCATCTACAATAACCCAGCCTCAACTATATCAGGGATAACTCATTCTTAAAAAGAAAATTTTAGGATAAATCTTTACTTATATTTATAATGAAGAAGAATATTTATTAGAAGTTGGCACAAAGCTTGAAAATCTATTTTGTAACCAGTTTTAATATGCCAGCCTAAATATGTCTTATGTCTTAAAAACAATTAGGAATGAGTATTTACTTAATTCATCCGAAGAGAGAAACCATCCTAAAGGGGACCACAAAATACTGAACCATAAAAAATAAGGTTACAACATTTCAAAATGGAAAAGATATGTATCAGGGTTAAGGAAAACAACTGTTTGGAACAAGCTATTGGGAAATCTGTAAAACTTCACAGTTTTTGTGAAACCTTTTAAGAACTTTCAGCTTTCAATAAAGACAAGTTTTTTTTCTCTCCTATGAATGATGTTTTTCTGTGATCTTAGATACTGAGCTCTACCGGGGGAATAGATTCCCTAGAGGAATTCAATAAACTTCTTGTTCAGCTGAGGCCAATGCTCTCCCCGGAGTATAGAGCTAAATCAATCAGGTTAAAACCGGTTTCAAGCTTCGTGCATTTTCTCATAGTTCATTTAACGGATGTTGGTAGTGGGTTGGGTACGCAAATATTGTATTTCTTACTGGTATAAAATGTCAATTTTACAATAAATTGATTAAAGGGACTGTTGACGTACTTTCAAGTGACCTTCCATTTAAAGAGGGACTTTCCTAAATCATCGTTTAAACCCTTATCTGATTAATTTATGAGATACATGTCCTTTTCTAGCCTTAAAAGTAGAATTGCGCAAGTGAATTTTTAATGAAACTAGAATGGAAAATAATTGACTTTTAATAAAATTATGGATATCTCAGGCGTTCTTGAACCTTAAGCCGTCATTGGAGAATGAACATGGTTCTCTGTAAATGGAGAGTCAGTAAAAATTATGTCTGACCAGTCCCTTGGAATTTTTTGGGTTTCCTTTACATGGACTACATGGACTAAAAAATTAAAAATCATGACACGCTTGATTGATGATGATCGCCCTCTTCCCGTCAATTATCATGATCTTTAACTACTTAGGCCTGGGGAGTGCGATGAGGAACCTGTTTGTTTGTATCATTACAGCCTAGCAGAGTGGTTTCTACAGGCAACCTAATCCTTAAAAAGTTTTAATTTAAGATTTTCTTATTGTGTATTGTTGATGAAAAATATTTGAATGTCTCCAAAACCATCTTGCTGCATTCATACTTTTTGTAAATCCCAAAATTTATATACAGGATTATCCACAAAGGATGAGACAGTAAAGACGACTTAAAACTCTTTAAATAGTAATATTCCAAGCCAAGGTTAAATGGAATCTACTGCCTTTAATATAGTCTTCTATGGCCTTTATTATTGATTGGACAAAGAAAGAAACAATCTATTAGTTTTAGGGAATCATGAATATAAGGCATTTATTCCTGAAGTATTAACCTTTGTGGGTAACCTATATATTAGTTCAAAAACCGTGCTGGATGCCGCAATACATCTCTATAAGACGACACGTATAAAATAATATCATGTTAAGTGGAACACACTTTATTTGATAATAAAATTCATTCAGAATTAGTATATTCACTTGGAAATGGTATTGTGAAAGTAAGACGTCCCTAAAAGTTTGATTTGAACCCAGAGATATAATTTTATCCATGAAAATAATAATTAGCTAAGGATTGGTTTCTAGCCCAAGTTCTGCGGACCTATGTACGAATGTAAACTGGAGGATGGACAGAAAGCTATCAAAGGAAATTATTCATAAATTAAAACATGACAAGGATTCAAGAATGAATTAGTACAGCGGGACCCAGAAAACTGTGGTATAGAAAGTTAACATTTAAGCAATCTTGTTTATTTTAACAAGATCTATGAGTCACTTGAAAAAATACTTATTTTATGGTCTGTGTAGTATATGTGCAAACCCATTAAATAAGTATTTACCCAAAATAGAGGGGAGGGGGTCACCGATCCCCCCCCCCTCGCCTCTATTTCCGTATTGTGATACAAACCTATAACATTTGATACATTTTTTCTTAATCTGGAGAAAAAATGCAAATTTGTAGAAATCCAAATTTTAATCGCGAAATCTAGTTATTGAGCAAAAAGTGTGCAAAAACAAATTTTGCGAAAAGAACCCGTGTCAAGTAAGACATTTTGTAATATTTCTTTCAATATTAATAGCAGCCGGTTCTATTTTTGAACTGAGACTCATATAATTTGTTAGGAGCAGGATATGACGTCAGATTGTCGATATCTCTTTCCGGAGTCTTGGAACCTCTGAAAAGTGACCTCCGTCGGCTCCGATTTTTTATCTCCGGCCTCGTTGGACATAAATAGCCCATTTTTTAAATATATACTCCCAATGACCCCTAAAATACACAAAATTTTTTTTTTTTTTTTTATCAAGTTTTTGATGTCAAAACAGGGTGTCAAAAATTGCGTTTTTTTTGATTTTTTTTTAATTGCAAAAATTCACAAGTTCGGATAAAAAATGTCGGAGGAAAAGAAAAGATAAAATATTATTTATATTATTATCTAACACATTGATGAAAAAAAAAATTTCAGAAAATTAATTTTTTCATGGGCTACGGGGTGTTTTATAGATGGTGGCTGGTTCTAATTTTGAGTTCTACAAGATTTGAATAATCTTTTTATAGAGTGGAAGATGAACTCTCAGCAGAATATTTACGATAAACCTGATTTGGTCAGCGGGATAGAGAGCCAGGAAGAAGACAGGTTAGGCTTAAGGGGACTGTAGACGGAAATTTAAGTGTCCTTTTATATAAAGAGGTGGGTTGTCCGATTTACAACGTTCCCTTTAAACCCTCTGATTAAGGATGAAAGACATATCCTTATTTTTCCTCTGCTCAACCATTAGAAAGCTTCGAAAGCTCCGGTGTTGAATTCTATCAAATTCCTTCAATTTATCGGTTATATCCGCAAGTCACCTATACAGAGAAAACTCAATTGAAAATAAACAATCTGAAGATAGAAAAACTTGCATATGCAATTCATCTATGATCAGACATAGAGGTAAAGGGTACCGTTGGTAATAGAGCCAGCCCAGCCCCTTAAATGGATTGTGCCTTGAAATTACAACGACAGCCTTTCCGTCAAAATTATCAGGAGTTTTAAGATATTGTGATTTCTTTTCACAGATATTTTAAAGCAGCAAAACTTTGAACATTTAAGATTAAACTTCCAAAAATTAGTGAATTTTTTATGTTTATCTTTCTTAAGGGTCCCCTTTAGATGTTTTTACTATTTCTTATTTCTTATTTGAGGGGTTAGAGTTTTTTCTCGCTTGAATTCAGGAAAAACGGATGTGAGCTAAAAAGAACATTTGTATTTAGTGAAATATGGATGCTTGTCAATACTGAGGAACGGGAGCGAAGGAAGCAGACAAGAAATGCTGGAAATGAAGCTTCGGGAAAGTTGATACAGGAAAAAAATCAAGATCATCTTGGTGATCATGAACTTCTCAGAGATAAAGATCCAGAAAGCCATGGAGAAAAACCCCGACAAGATCAAGAAAACCATCAAGAAGAACACCATCTAAACCTAAACGCATCACAAGAAATTCTTTTATCCCGCCGTTCTTTCCTAGAACAGCATTTAATGTCTGGAAATCAAATCACAGACTTCAGTTCATCAATAAACAACTCAGAGGAACATTTACAGATTGGAGTCATTAATGAAGATTTTATTTGTTCAAGAAGATCTGCAGATAATCTTGACACATATGAAAATGTTACTAAAGAACATGAAGTGATCACGTCTAAGGATCCTGTTCATAAAACACTTCTGGACTTCGTGAAGGCAAATGATTCTGAAGCGGTTGAAAGGTAATGTTTATTGTATGACCTCGCACTTAGATAATGTGAATTCAAGCCTTAAAAATATGAGATTATGTAATTTTAATAGCAACCCTGTTTAATGGTTTTTGAGCATTGAAAGTTTTAAACCTCTTATTGTATCATATTTCTCTAAAATTCGTATAGTTTTTAAAAAGCTAAAATTAGGACAAAAGCTTTTATTTTTTCACTTTATGCTAAGTTTTAGTTTAGAGAAAGAAGCGTGTGAAAGAGGGGTTGAAATATAACGAAATTAATAAATTGTTTAGGATGCTGTTGATAGATGATAATGGATTTAAAGAGGATGATACCGGATGTAAGGAGGATAATACCGGATGTAAGGCGAATCTAGTAGTGTGTGCGCTACAAGCCGCCAGGGAAGGGTTTGCTGAAACTCTTGAGACTCTCCTAGAGATCGGTGGCGTTCATCCAGACTCAAAGTAAGAGATAATCAAACTAGTCTTTACAGCCAGACAGTAGACAGACAGCCTAACCAATATTTTACTTTAATTAATTAAATGTTATAAAGAACTGACAAATTAATTATTTATTAAGATAATAATTGAATTTTTAATTTTATTTTAAGATTTCAGCTCAACTATTGATTATTGATCAAGCGCATGCATAACTTGTAAATTATCAATTGTATCTTTTGATTCATGGTTTGAGTTTTTCATCGTCAATATTTGTATTTCAATTTAATCAATTTGATGACTTTATTCCCTTATTAACTTTTCCTTCTGAATTTAAGATATAATTAACCTGTTTTTTTGTTAAGTATTAACTATTTACTGTTTCATATATTGCTCTAATAGCGTTCCTGGGTGTAATAAAAGAGATCATGATGTTTTTAAGAATTGTTTTTTTTTCCTTTTTATTTTTAAATGCATATTTTTATTGAATACTAGATGAAGAGCCCGGCATTTACCCTGAAAAAAAACTTTAGCCTTTATCACCCCCAGGCTACCCATGAGTGTTCTCAAAAAATTTCAACCCATTCGGTCCAGCCGTTTGGCCGGCAATAGGGAACATATATACGAATGTCTTGTTTTATTATTTAGATTTCTATTATTAGGGATGAAAATGGATGGACTCTGTTAAGAACAGCGGCCTGGGCTGGAAAAGAGCATTGTGTTAAGGTAGCTAGCTAGTTACACATTTCAGTTGATAAAATCGGCGGCGTTAGAAACCTTAGAATCAAATAAAAGATTGATTAAGATAGATAGTTGGATCTAACGATTAAGATGATAAATGGATCTAACGATTAAGATAGATAAATGGATCTAACGATTAAGATAGATTTCTTGGATCTAACGATTAAGATAGATAAATGGATCTAACGATTAAGATAGATAAATGGATCTAACGATTAAGATAGATAAATGGATCTAACGATTAAGATGATAAATGGATCTAACGATTAAGAAAGCTAATTGGATCTAACGATTAAGATGATAAATGGATTTAACATCTACAATTTTGGTAATGTGGTGAATAAATCGCTAGACTCTAGTCAGGAGTATATTGTGAATCTGCATAGAGTCTATAAAATAGATTCACTGACTGACTTTTGCTGTCACTATTTTTTTAAACAATGTCTCCAGATTATGATTGTTAATTGTTTAAAACATCTTAGGATTTCTTGAGATTTTAATTACTTCTGGCAAACAATCGGAAAACACCAGTCTTATATGCTGGATGATTTATTAACAAAGGTCACAGGTTTTTAGAAGAAATTCTCTGTTTATGAACTTTTTGGAATGTATTGTATCGTCATGAATTCTAGAAGAAATAAAAAAAGTAAATATTTAGGTTCTGGTTGATCATGGTGCGTCAGTGAACCAGGTAGATGACGATATGCGTACAGCGCTCCGTGCTGCTTGCTGGGCTGGTCATCTTGCATGCGTATATTTACTCCTAAACAATGGGGCAGAGGTCAACCAGGTAATATCTTCACAAAATAGTTATGTCAGCTGTTTTTATTTAATTAATCTGTGATCTTTTTTCATTAATTGATCTTGCTGTTTTTTTATCTATTGATCTTGTTGTTTCTTTTTTTCTTCATTTTATCTTGCTGTTTTTTTTACCTGAAATAGGGTTGCATAGTTTTACCTGGAATATGGCTGGTCAGTTTTACCTGGAATAGGGTTGCATAATGTTACCTGGAATAGGGTTGAATAGTTTTACCTGGAATAGGGTTGCATAGTTTTACCTGAAATAGGGTTGGATAGTTTTACCTGGAATAGGGTTGGATAGTTTTACCTGGAATAGGGTTCGACACTTTTACCTGGAATAGGGCTGGATAGTTTTACCTTTATTGCTGAATTGTTTTACCTGGAATAGGGTTCGACATTTTTACCTGGAATAGGGTTCGACATTTTTACCTGGAATAGGGCTTGATAGTTTAACCTGGAATAGGGCTGGATAGTTTAACCTGGAATAAGGCTGGATAGTTTTACCTGGAATAGGGTTGGATAGTTTTACCTGGAATAGAGCTGTATAGTTATATCTGAAATAGGGCTGGATAATTTTACCTGGAATAGGGCTGGATAGTTTACCTGGAATAGGGTTGGATAATTTCAACCGGAATAGGGCTGGATAGTTTTTCCCTGGAATAGGGCTGGATAGTTTTTCCCTGGAATAGGGCTGGATAGTTTCACCTGGAATAGGCCTTTTTAATTGATTCCATTTTTCTGTTTTTATTAATTGATTTGCTGTTTTTCATTTAGTTATGTTTCTTTTATCAAAAAATTATGTTTTTGTTTTCATTAATTGATCTTGATGTTCTAGTTTGACAGTGAAGGAAGGAATAATTTAAATTTTTATATTGGTTAATTTTGCTTTTTTAGTTCTATAATTACTAGCAAAATTGATGTTAAATTATTGATCCTGTTATTTTTTATTAATTGATCTTGGTGTTCTAGTTTGATAGTGAGGGTAGAACAGCAATGATTGCTGCTTGTTACATGGGACATATCGACTGTGTCAGAGAACTTATAATCTGGGGTGCAGATATAGAGGCCATGGATCAGGTATAAATACTAGTTTTAGGAAAATATAGTATTCAATATATGTTAGAAAATTAGGAATAACTGTAAACATTCTTTACGCTTTATGTCATACAGTGGGACTCATATAACTGGAAAAGGAAAACGACTTCTAGACTCAAGTTACGAATTTAAATAGTCCGATGAACATAAAGCATAGTAATCGAGCACTGCGCACAGACCCATTTCAATTAATAATATGATTTTTAATCTACTGTTAAAACTATTTGCTTTATAACAACATCCAATTGATTGTTGACTATACAGGATGGACGAACAGCCCTGTCTGTGGCTGTTACCTGCGAGTCGGAGAGTGCGGCGAAGCTCGTCACATTGCTGATCGACAATGGGGCAAACCCAAACCAGTCGGACAAAGATGGAATGTCACCATTGCTTATTGCTGCATTCGAGGGCAAAGCGCAGGTTTGCTACCTTGGAAATCTTTATCTAACAGAGACAGTAGACGTAATTTCTAGTGATGCTTCATTAGAGTGAAATCTCCAATTCACAACGGTACCCTAAAAGATTCAAGAATGGTTGAAATGTTTTTAACTTTAAAATTTATTTTGAATTGTGGTTTCTTTTTAAAAAGATTTGGGGATTATTGCTACTATTGTATATGAATAAAAATCAATAAAGCAATGCACTGAGTTTCTCAAATATTCAACGAGTCGGTTTTTCTTACAATATATTTATATACAAAAGATGCAAAAAATACAAACTTTAAATCGAACGATACTTATACAAACTAAATATTATGAATCAATC